ATTTTTCCAGCAATTTTTTAAGATATAAATACGTTGTTTGACGATAAATAAACGTGACGTCACAATTCACAATCTCGATTACGACAACACAAAATTCATAGAAAACTGTCATGATTGACAGTTCGAAAAATGTATTGAAATTGAATTCGACAAATTGTCAAATACCGTATTTCATTTCGAAAACTCTCTACCAATAAGACAATGTCTACGAGTAGGTAAACACACACTTAGACTTTCGAAAAAAAATGTTTTTTGCGCAACAACGACCATAAAGCAAAAGATGACTAATGGTAACTTAAAAGACCTTCAGAATGAAAAAAAAACTAATCTGGACACTACAATACAACTCCAACATAATTAGAACTGTGACAGGAAAAAAATCACAATAAACAGAGATCAGCATGGACTGGCCAGTCAGTGCATGCTTGCACGTTTCGCAGCAAACAAAATGTATAGGAAGTTAGTAGTTAATTTATTGGCACAAAGAACTACACTAAAGTTTTGTACGCAAACTTATTAATTAAATAGGGAAACATTTAGACACGTATACATTATAATTGAAAATAGAGTAATTTTAAGAATCATTGCTTCATGAGCAAGTTGTTCACTGCCGGGTGTTGATTGGACTGGTTAGGAATAAAACTGATACTTGTATATTTTATCTTAAGGGGGTACAATCATCCAATGTCTTCTCCCGCCTGGGTGAGGCGGGAGGGACTGTCAGACTCTTACTGCCTAAAAACCACCTTGTTAATACTCATGCACTTCGAGCCGGAGCCCCGGTAACCCATTAGGTTCTCCGCGGCTCCGTATCGGTTTCAGCCCTATACTTATATATTTAGGAGCGAATTTTCTTCATCATCATCATGCCTGGCACAAGTAACATTACCACCATCATCCATTAGCTAGTCCACTACTTGCTTAGTAATTGACGATTGGTAGATGAGTTGGAAATCGCCTTTTATTTTTTTTGTTGACGTTCAAAAGTGCCTTTCTGGTCTAATTGAAATAAATGATCTTGACTTTGACTTTGAAAAGACTAAAGTTTACCTATCAGAGCACGCTGTTTTCCAAGTTTTGTAACATTTCAAATGTATCAGTCCAGAATAAGATGAAGATGACGAAAAATAAAGAAAAGTCTCAGGACTCGAGTCACTAAAGTATTCTGAGAATAGCTCTATATGTAGGTATTACTTTCTTTCTGTGTAAAATAAAGATGAAATATTTCTGACTTTACCAGTGAAGTCTGTATTATAGAGGTACAATAGTTATTTTTTTATTAGCTTATTACGTACCTTACAAATTGTGTCTACAATATTATAGTCTAGTCTAGTAAACAAATATCAAATCAAAGTAATTTGCAGTAAAACAGTATACTTAATACAATTAGTATTTTATAACGATTTAACTTTAATATACATAGACATAAATGTTTATGTACGTCATTATTTTGTTATGATTGTCAATGTCGCGGCCGTTGGTTTGGTTGCCATGGATTTTATGGTGCCGGCAAACGAGCAGGATGCAAGTGCGTTGTCAGTCATTGGGACCTTGGTGATTGGAGATAGGGTGCGGATTATTAGACCTCCAGCTTGACTACTCTGCAACTGTAAATTCGTAAAATCGAAGTTACCTCGATCGCGGTCTCGCAATATTAATGGTTGGGAGAATAATCCCGACAAATGACGGGCGATAAGCGAAGATGCGATCGAGCTCACTTAGAAAGTGAGAATTGGCTGTTAAAGAATAGTGTAGCTATAATCTCGCACTCACACAAATAAGACACAGGCTTTGTTTCACGCATGTTTCTTGCGAGAAGTGTAATAGGGCTGTTTGCAGTCAGTAAGTTCAAGTGTGGGAGCGCCATGCTTTTTTTTTAAGGCGGGAAAATCATCGAATGACTGCTCCCGCCTGGGTGAGGCGGGAGGGAGTATCAGATTCTTACTGACTAAAAACCACCCCGTTCTTTCTCCTGCACGTCGAGCCGGAGCCCCGGTTACCCGTTAGGTTCTCCGCGACATGCTTAGGCACGAATGAGCCGGCTAGACCGGAGTAATACCACGGCCCCACAAAAAAACCGATGTGAAGCAACGCTTGCGTTGTGTTTCGTTGGGTGTGTGGGGTTACCGGAGGCCCAATTGCCCTCCCCTTCCCCAATCTCCCCAATTCCTGAATCCCCAACGATCCTCAAACTCCTAATCCCCAAAAGGCCGGTAACGCACTTGTAACGCCTCTGATGATTTAGGTGTCCATGGGCAACGCCGATTGCTTACCATCAGGTGATCCGTCTGCTCGTTTACCGGCTTATGCCATAAAAAAAAGAATAAGAGTCTGAACCTCCCTCTCGCCTCACCGAAGGCGGGAGGAGTAATTGGATGATTTTCTCTCCACACAAAAGTAACTGTCTGTCTGGTCATTGGCATAGAAACACTCCCTGTCATGAAAGGTAGTTAGTTATAACAACATTTGCTAACATTTCGTCACTCAACAGTACACAAACGTGTGAATACCGGGTTAAACATACAGTTCTGTTTTGTATTGTTTTCTTTCCTTTCTCATAGCCTTTCCTTTCTCATATAAAATTTAATATCACAGTTGATTTTCCCTTGAAGACGTTAATAAAACACCCCAGAGCCGTAATATCCCTAAGGCAAACTAGACAAGTGCCTAGGGGCCAAGATACAGAGGGCGCCACGAGATCGCGTGCCTGTAAAATGGCGGCCTCTAAAACACCTAACTACCACTTTCGCCAGTTATTCCAGACCTTTTAAGACAATACAAAAATGAAACTGTATCTAATAAAACTTCAGCCAACTCATTAGATGCACTAGAAAATAAAAAAATACCATAAAACATAAATATAAAAATTGTATTTCGTATTTTTATTTTTATTTATTTATTATTTTATGCACAACACACAGAAGTACGTACACATAAGAATACTTTTACAAATAGATTGTATGTACCTGGTACATAGGTCTAGTATGTAGTAGGTACATACACACATACCTACACATATTACTATGTAGGAATCTCTTCTTGCAGTCCTTCGACGAAAAAACAGTAAAAACTAAGACACTGTGTGTAACTTTATGAACAAAAAAAAACAAAAATTGTAATTTGTAGTTAATTCAGAATTACCCAGACGATTTTGGCGGCTACCGGCTAGACTTCACAAGATCAAACAGGTGCGATTTTCTGACTTTCCTGGTAAAACTTTCGTACGTTTTTTTCAATACTAATCTTGTTATGTGACAAGAGGAAATAATAAAGTAATTAATTAGTCTATTTGGTGCAGTGTGGTTCTAAAACTAAGCGCATGCATACTTACATTTTTAACCGACCGGCCAGTCGGGCCAGCCTGTCATAATAAATAATAAATCGAAGATTCATTTTTATTTACTTTGCCGGTTTTTCTAATGTTATGATAATTCTTACATGTCATCATGATGTTAGTTATGTATTTAGGTATTTGCCTAGATTTAGTATGTAATACATTCAAGTTTTAATGTCCCATAAACATAAATTGCATTATATAATAACATCACGCTTGCTATCGCCCAAGGGCATGAGCAAATAGCGGTAGGCTTAGGTATACTGTCCACGTTGCGTCATTTGACGAGTGGATGCCTTCGTCAAAAACAATATTTTTTCTAAGCATGCATTTGTCATTTGCAGGCCGCCTGTTGTTTGCAAAAGATGCACGCTTCCGTCAAATGACGCCACGTGGACGGTTGGTAATAATCGTAAATCTTTCTAAACTTTTCGAAAGTTATGAGTTTTATTTATAAGTAGGTACCTAACTAGCTGTTGCCCGTGACTTTATCCGCGTAGGATATGATTTCTGTTTTATCCCATGGGAGCATTTCATCCGGACAAAATCTAAATCCTATCACCTAAGTCAGTCCATAGCCTGCCTGTATACTAAATTTCATCAAAATCCGTTCAGTAGTTTCAGCGCGAATGAGGGATGAACATCCAAACATTCAAACATACAAACAAAGAAACTTTCACATTTATAATATTAGTGTGATTT